ACTAATTTAGATTTATCATGGAATAATCTTGGTGAATCAGGAGGAAAAGCACTGGCTGAAGCTTTATGCAAAAATACTACCTTAACTAATTTAAATTTATATAGTAATAGAATAAGTAAATCAGGAGGAAAAGCATTGGCTGAAGCTTTATGCAAAAATACCACCTTAACTAATTTAAATTTATATAACAATGGGCTAGGTGAATCAGGAGGAAAAGCATTGGCTGAAGCTTTATGCAAAAATACCACCTTGACTAATTTAGATTTATCATGGAATAATCTTGGTGAATCAGGAGGAAAAGCACTGGCTGAAGCTTTATGCAAAAATACCACCTTAACTAACTTAGATTTAAGATCGAATAATCTTGGTGAATCAGAAGGAAAAGCAATGGCTGAAGCTTTATGCAAAAATATCACCTTAACTAACTTAAATTTAGGATATAATAAAATAGGTGAATCAGGAGGAAAAGCACTGGCTAAAGCTTTATGCAAAAATATCACCTTAACTAATTTAGATTTAAGTAGAAATAATCTTGGTGAATCAGAAGGAAAAGCACTGGCTGAAGCTTTATGCAAAAATATCACCTTAACTAATTTAGATTTAAGTAGGAATAATCTTGGTGAATTAGGAGGAAAAGCACTGGCTGAAGCTTTATGCAAAAATATCACCTTAACTAATTTAGATTTAACTGATAATTATCTTGGTGAATCAGGAGAAAAAGCAATGGCTGAAGCTTTATGCAAAAATACCACCTTAACTAACTTAGATTTAAGATCGAATAATCTTGGTGAATCAGGAGGAAAAGCACTGGCTGAGGCTTTATGTAAAAATGTCACCTTAAATAACCTAAATTTAGGATATAATAAAATAGGCGAATCAGGAGGAAAAGCACTGGCTGAAGCTTTATGCAAAAATATCACCTTAACTAATTTAGATTTAAGATATAATAAAATAGGTGAATTAGGAGTAAAGGCACTAGACAAAGCAAAAACGATTAAATATAATCGTTTAGTGCTACTAGAATAACAGATTGCACACAAATCTTTATTAAAAAGTAACAAAAACAAATTCACATCGTATTGGTGAATTTGTAGCATCTTACGTTCCTTTACCAAAATTTATTTATAAACTACCATCGTTTATAATTAGTTTGTCATCAAAAGATTGCAAAACTTGTAAGTATATAATATACCTCAAAATAGAATTTCAATAGAAATTTCTGGTTTAAAATCACCCAAACATTATTATTTATGCTATGAATTTTAGTTATTGGACTACACTATAACCTATAAGGTAACTTTAATTCGAATTCTTATTAAAGGTGCTTATTAAACAACTATTTTTCATCTCATAAAATTTCACATGATTAACCGCAAGGTATACTGTAAATGCTGATTAATGTATTCAGGCATTTACAAAGTGTAAAGTTGTACTCAGGGTATATATAATAATATTATTCTGATCTGTTGAGTTATGGGTGAAAAGTATATGATATTCTATAAATTCTTTGGCCAAAAATTTTGCAGCGGTTGATATGTATGTTATTACCCACTTCGTGGACAATAACTGATTTATTCCCCAGTTCTATTTATACTTCCATACTATTTTTTAATTAAAAGTTGCATATTTCGTTATATTTATTTTATTGATCCTGAGGCTTCTTCTTTGTTTTTTTTTTTATTTTACTCGGCGACTTTTTTGATAATGTATTAAAAAGGTCGATAAAATACAAGAAACTTTAAAAAACAAAAAAAGACATACGTATAACAAAAGATGAAATATAAATTTTCTGAATCAGTCTGGACTCAAGATCTTAGTAAATTCAATTATTCATTACTAATTAAATGTGCTACACATTAAATTATTCATTACTTATATTACTACCTATATCACTACCTACTATAGTTGTTAGGCGAAACCCAAAAAAGGTAATTATAACAATGATGTTCATTGTTATAATTTCCTTTTTTGGGTTTCGCCTAACAACTATACTACCTACGTACGACATTATTTACTTACCTAGGGGGATGACATGTATATTAACTCTTAGTGGAACAGGAAATGTTTTAGAAACATTTTCTATTAAAGTAGCTGGTCTTTTTAAATCCTTTTCAAGCAGCCAATGCCATGATCAATTATTTTAAAATAACCTATCAAAATGAACGTGATACAGAATTTCAAATTACTTAGAAGTTTATAATGTTCTAATTACAACTATCGAGAAAAATAAAAGCCTACCGATCATTCCACAAATTATTGAACCTTTGGCATTGGAAAGTGAGGTAGCAAAGCTTAAATAATTTAAGCTTATGCAATTTTTAATATTAATAACGATTTGAAATTAAACCATTATGAACTAGACGAAATTAAAGCCAACATCGATTCTCTTAAGAAAATCTTGAAACATTAAATCAAGAGTTAATAAAAAAAGAAAGTTTTTTAAAAAATATTGAAAGTATATTATGCCAAGAAGGCTAATCCGGCCGATTTACTTAGAGCTATCAAACGAGTTTGAATAATTTAAATGCCTTCAAAGGTTTCAATCAAATTATTCGGTTTTTTCTAATTAGGTCAAAGTTTTGATATGTCAATAGGTTTTTTTATATTAATGTTATTTTACAAAATTCGGATTCTTTCTATTTTTTTCTGGTTGCAAAATTTTTATTCATGTAATTTATTGAAATTTGTATTAGTAAATAGTAGAAATAGTATTGGAACGTGCGAACGTCAAAAAAGTGTTAGGAATTACAGCCGTTCTCAAAAATGCGTGAAAAACAACTTCATGAAGAATTGGAAATGGACTGCATTACGCAGCTCACAAAGATCATTCTGAAGAAGGTTGATTTTGTAATATATATATATACAATTCTCTTTGAAATTAAATATTAGAGATAATTTAAAACTTTAGGTACTGAATATTGTGGGTCGACTAAGTCGATAAATGTAGTAGCTGATGCTAAAATTCAAACGATTGCGAGATTAATATATCTAATTGAATTTCAGTGTCAACTGCCACAACAAATTATGCTCGTATCTTGACTAAATTCAGTTTATTGTCCGGAGCGTATCGGAGGACACTCTTTCTTTACGTCAGGCTTTGATCGACACTGTCACGTGCATCTGTCTGTTCGCTTCCGCATCCCTGATTGGCTGTACATCACGAGCTTATTATGTTGAGTTAGAGATTTATTACCATAATAAGAGTGAGTTATTTTATGCTTCGGACTCATTACGGTTCCTGTTTTCCTAGTTATATTATAAAATATATGCTCATGCGATCGGCTAAGAGTCGGCTTGAGTCGACTCAGGGTTAAAAGTCGATGCAAGTCGGTCGAGTCGAGTCGTTAACATCCCTACCTATACTGCAAGAGATCCTCAATCGCTATTGTATTATATAATGAGTTCAAGTAAATTTTTAATTTTGGCTAAACTATTTGAAAGTAACAATTAGATTTCTTTATGACGTTATTTTGTCAGTTCTCCAGACCCAGCATTTCGTCGCAAAGAAGCATTATATTAAATTATTTATAAGATTTTTGGACTTACATTAATGTATTAATTTGTTAGTTGGTTGTAATTCAATATTTATTAAAATCATATTGCGGTTTTAGATTTATAAATGCAGATGTTATAGAGGTAAATATTTAATAAGATAAATTTTGGATGAGGATATTAATGTATTTTTTTTTGATTTATACAGTATACGAATTATTATCCGCTTTCTTAGATGTTCGTGTTCCAAACATTTAGGAGACCTAAATTAGATCATTTTGCATATCGATATATAAATTCGCCTGATTCGTTAATCTTTGATATACCCATGATCACCCGTGATAATTATCCAATTAAATTAAAGACTCATTATTTTAATACTAAGAAACGAAAAAAATTTTAATGGTAAGTATCTTATAAATTAAATAAATAGACAAAAGAATTAAATAATCTCATATGCAAATTATAGGCAGATGTTGTAAAGTGGGTGAAGGTGTATATATATTTATTATCAATAAACAGCGATTGATCTTTTTTCACAGTGAACGTTAACATTTGGTTGAAGCTATAGACAAGATTTCGCATGATCAACCGCAAGGGGATTGTATAGTAAAAAAAATGACAGGGTGAAACCCGCGTTGTGAATCACATGAGGGTGAAATCCGATTTTGCATAATAAAAAAACATAGTTAAACGCAATTTCCCCTAACGTGATTTACAGCGTGGGTTTCACCCTCTCCTATTATATTTATCTGAATTTTTGTTTGCATACATTTGTTATTATCTACATGCTTAGATAATTCGTTTATTGTTTATTATATTGAAATATGAACAGCATATCATTGGTTATTTGATGAATTAAGGTTAACCCGATTTAAAGTTGACTTTGGTTAGAATTAAACGTCGGTGAAATAACTGTCAGCGAAAATGGGTAAATCGATTCAAAATCGGGTTGTTTCTGGAATGCTTTCAATACATTTAAATAGTTAATGTTGACGTAATCCTCAAAAGGAAAGCTTGTTCATTAAACGCTTTTTGCATGATTAACTTTGAAATGAATTATAAGAATTCGTATAGTACGTACGTATCAGTACGTTAATGAAACAATGATAAAGATTAATAGATAAATAACGACGTAAATAACGATGACACTTTTTAATAAATATGAAACAATGTAATTATCAATTTCCAAACTTTTTATTTTTGGAAAAGAAAAAGTATTTAAAAGAAAAAGATTTCTATACATATATATGATGAATGTAAATTTTGCGAAAAAGAAAATTCTATTTTAATAAAACAAATCATTGTACATAAAAAATTTCATAGGTAATACACAATCGAATTTATTTGAAATTATACATGAGAATGAAGAAAAGAAATTTTTTAACCCACTTAATTATCATTAACCCATTTCCCACTTAATTATAAATCAATCAATTGTAACGATAATTTATTCCAACATCCCAAGATTCTCTAATACATTCCATCTCATCAAAGAAATCTACATATTTATAAGTTTTCAAAGTACCATCATTCAAATATTTTTCAATAATCCTAATCCAACTAAAAGAAATTTCAGATTCAGGATTAATATAAATAGATAAAGGTTTTCTTTTCATAAGTTTCCAATTATCAAGAAAATTAATCAAAACTTCATTAGTAAATTCCCAATCAGCATAATCACTATCATAATATTCACCACCACCTAAATTTAAAATTTTTAAAGAATTTGGAGCCTTATTAACCAAGATATTAAATAAATTTTCAGCCCAAACCACCGAATCAGTAACAAATCTAATTCCTTCTAATTTAGAACAAGATAAAAACATTTGATCAAGACAATCTAATATAGAATCATTATACCATAAAGTAACAAAAGTAAGATTTTGACAACGAGAAATAACATGAATATAATCTTTTAATTCTTTAACAGAAGCACGGGTTAAAGTACCCCAATGTATTCTATTAAGATTAGGAGATTTTGAAATTAAATTTGTATAAACGGGAAAAGGGGTGAAAAAATCATCGACATCAAAAACTTCAAGGTAAGGAAAGAAGACGGATTCAAAAGATTTTCTATCATTAACTTCTTCAAGTAAATTAAGTTTTAAAGAACGTAAATTAACTAAAGTAGCCAAAGAAACAGCTGGAATACATAATTTACCATGAAAATAAATATGTAATAAAGAATCAGCTTGAGAAGATAAAGCATCACCAATATGTTGAATATCAATATCATCAGAAGTGAGTTCAATATGTTGTAAAGCGTGTTGATTTTGAATTAAAGAAGCTAAACCATAATTTTGAGCATCAAATTTTCTTACAATTAATCTTTTAAGATTTCTACAAACTTGAGCGAGTTCAAAATAACTTCTAGAAGGAACGTCATGATAACAATCAAGTCTTTGAAGTTTATCAAAACAAGAATTAGCACCAGGAAAATACCAAATAGGAATTTCAGGGAGATGAAGTTGTTTAAGATTTGGACATTTGTTAATAAACATTTTGTAAAGTTCTTGTTCAATCAAAATCTTGACATATTGAGCATGTATTTCATCGTTTTCAATAGTCCAAGCCATAGCAGAACCGATCATTTCTATTTCGAAAGGAGTTAATATTCTAGTATATCTAACATAATCGAATAAAAGAGGAGGAGCCACTAAACGTTCTTTGTTTAATTTAACTCGACATTCATTTAATAAGTCCATTGAAACTTCAGGAAGAGAAGCTATATGACATAATAGAACAGATTGCACAAAAGACTTTCCAAATCTCCTATTAAAGAAGAAAGGGGATTTATTTATTTTTTTCATAAAAAAATCGGAAAATAACAAATAGAAATTACATATTTTAAAAAAAAAAAATAAGAACTACCATGGGTTTCTCCAAATTATTGGAACAGCTATTTCACACCATAATCTATTTACTAATAAACAAGAAATCAAAGATTTTCCATCACGGGACAAATATTCAAAGATTTCGTTTAAACAATCTGCAGGGAGTTGTGCCATGTCAAGAAAAATCTATCAAGGGGTTTATATTAAATTTGTGTATATTTTGATTATTATTATTATTATTATTAATGATTAATTCTCTCTTTTTTTTTTTTAATATCTGTTTTTTTTAAAAAAAAATATATATTGAATGTAGTTTTTTCGTTAACGGTAACGGCAAAGCCACAATTTTATTTGACTAAATATAATCTTTGAATGACATCATAATAAAATCATTTGTACGAACTTACCGTGTGAACCAATCAGTTACATAAAGAAAGAGGGTTATTTTAAAAAAAAAATAAAATATATATATATTTTTTTAAAAAAAAAAAATTTGTAAAAAAAAAAAAAGAAAGACTCGTCGAATTTTTGATTTGGATTTGCGTAATTGTTTTTTAATTTATACAAGGGGTACGTGTAACATGTCATATGATGTTTGTGTAGTACGCACATAGATGTTCCCAATAAAATTATCGGAACATTTTTAATCTTTGGGGTGAAGTCTACCAAAGATTAAAAATTTTTGAAAACCAAACCGAAAATCCAAAAATCCGTTTGGAATAGCTTTGAATAAATAAGACTTATTCCAAATATTATCTGGCAAGCGTACATATAGTACGTACGAGTAAACAAGTAATTATACATATTTATAAAGAAAGTCGAGAGTTAATTTCTACAATGATTGTACGCATGTATGAATTTCTGTTAAAGGAAACGCGGACTTTGGATTTATCAGAGATTTATCAGATCTAAGTTCCGTAGGTTAGTTTGCAACATCACATTGCCGTCTAAATAGTTTTACACATCTATAAATATATTTCAACTCAGACGCATACAACTTATCTGTTAGATAAGTGTATGTGACCAGGAGATTATAGTTTGAAAGATTAAACTGAACATAAACTAAACCGGACAATGATTTTCTTTATATTAAGAAGAATGAATGAATAAATACTTTGTTTATATAAAAAGAAAACACAAAGATGATAAATCCTTTAATTACAAAAATAGTATCACGAAACTCAACAATTGTATTTAAATATATTAAACAAAACAATCTTGTGAAATGTAATTAACTTATTGGTATAAAAAGTGAATGATAAGAATAAATACTATTCGTGAAATGTGAAATGGCACAATATTTACTAATTACGTCATCTAGAACTTTCCACCGTACGGATCTTTCTTTATACAAATACTATATGTTCTAACGTCTTCAGCTTTTGGTAATATCCAGTATTTATCAACTTTAATTAAAGTATTAGGATTAACTCTATTCTGAAACATTACTAAATAAGTTTCTCCTTCATAACTAAACCTAGTAGCAAATTGTTCAGCAAGTTTAACATCAGGTGTTGTATAAACACCATTTTCAAATTCAAATTGAATTTTCTTTTTATTGTTCAATTTACAACAAAAGCAACCCAAAATGCAATTTAAAAATCCTTTTCTTGATTTATTCTTTCCTTTAATGGCACAATAACCCATTTTCGCCATCGACTTACCATTAATGCTACCAGTAGCATGATAAGAGACAGGCCATTCGTTCGGTGAAGAGTCATATTTTGATTTTCTACTTTTAACACCTAACCAAGTATTATTATATTCGTATTTATTTAAAACTTTAACACTAATTCGTCTCCATCCACATGGTCTAGTATATTCTTCTTTTCCACGATAAAATTTCTGTGTATCCACTATATTAGTAAAATCATAATCGTATCCTGGATCTAAATGTTCAGAATTAATATATCCTACTGATTTACTACCTTCTCGTAATAAAATATTTAATTGAATAACTGAATAAGCATCTATATTATACTGTGATAATGTGAGTTCATCCTTTAATATTTGTTTTTCGAATTTAAGTTCTTGCACAGATGGAAGGATACCTTCATGTGAATAAATTAATTGTTTAAAACTTTTGACAGTACAAGAAAGTAAAGTATGAATACTAATATTCTTTTTAGAAGAAGTTGTTTTGACAAAGATTTCTTTAACATCATTATCATATGTTTTCGAAAAATTACTTTCTGATATTTTTGCAATACTAGATTTCGGGATTGGACCAATTTGCATATGAGATTGGTAAATATCAACTTCGTAAAAGCTTGTATCAGAATTGTCCTTTTGACCTTTATATTCATCATGTGTAATAATGGTAGATCCTGAAATCGCGGTTAAAGCAGCTGCAAGAAGGGATTGTGCCATTTTCTCTAAGTTTTGCGTATAATTTAAATTATCAAAATTTGTTTATTCGTGAAAATGAGGGGAAATGATTATTGAATATTGCTAAAACGTTCCAAGACGCGAATTTATATAAAAAAAAATTCTTATTAAAGAATTGTTAAAGACACACATGATATTAATGATATTATTGGTATTAAACATGATACTATAGATCATTCTATTTCCAAACTTGACTACCAAATGACTAGTGCTAATCAGAGGTTTTGTTTATCGATGAATGCAATGAATGTTGATTTTTCTTTAAGATATCTTCGTGTAAACAATTACGGGAAACCACTCAGAGATAATGAATAAAGGAAAAAATACAAAAAATAGGTAATGATTTATAAATTGGAAAACATCTTTAGAATCTTTCCATGCAACTTTGTTCGATTTTATTAGAATTACTTGTAACGTAGTAGTAACACATACAGTACTACTTACGCACTTACGTATTGTATGTACATAGTTTATTATTATCGTTCTTGTTATTGGTGTGGAATCTTTCCAAGTGTTACACGGAATATCACGTTAATCATAACTCCGCATTTATTTATCAAACTAATTGAGAATTCTAACGTAACACACATATCAAATTTGAACGTTCAATACGATACCAAATTTTAAATGGTATTTCATAATTCTGGTCAAATTTGCTGATTATTTGGCCAGATTTTTTTTTAAAGTTATATGACTAACAGTGACACCGGATTCGTTTTACCGAAATACATCTTTAAAAACGTATATAATTAATAAATACCTTTTATATTAACTGCAGTTTTTATTCGTATGATTTATATATGTCTTTAAATGGATATATTTCAGAATTAAGTATTGCAGTTTTAATAAATATAGTTTTGGTTAATAATAATTCTCATAATGAGTCAGATAAGAAAAAAAAGTTAAATCTTTATATATAGTTATATATTATATATAAATATAAGTTACTATTTCTTTATTATTGTGATTATTATTATTCCTCAAATAGAATAATTAATAGAACTTTTAGAATTCTCTATTTTCTGGAATTCGCTAAATCATAGTTGAATGACTATTTACTTATCAGGTACCCTGATTTTCATTCGCGTTCTTATTGGGAGTATTCCAAAGCTTTTGGGCTGACTATTTTATCTTATAATATATACTTATCTTGTACGTATGCTATTACAAATAAATATTGCAACAAAATAAATATACAATTATAAACGTTAAGATAATGACAAAATGAGGAAATTTGAGTACGTACTAGTTGTTCAAATAAAAAAAATTTCTTGAAAATTTTAACCAGCAAATTATTGCAAACTTAAAATTTTATTTTATGCCGCAACTTGTTTTGAATAAATAATTATTGTAAACGCTTAATAATATTTGTTTAGATACTGCAAGATGAACCAGAATTCGGTTTACTAGTTAAAAAGCTTTTTACTTTTATATGATATTTTTTCGTAATAATTTCCAGAGTTATAAGACCTTGGATCGATTACTTAAAACACATAATTAAATAAACGAGCTTAAAGAATAGAATTCATTATATATATTTATTAAATTTCAGTGTAAATGTTCTGTATATGTAGATTGGAAAATAATACGTACTATTTTGCAATCGGTATAATTTATTAATTTTTTTTTTTTAAAAAAAAAAACCACATTATCCCCCAAAGAAATTAAGCTTACATTAAACATTGAATTTACATATGTGGAGTTGGTTTACCAGTAGTGAACATTATAAATTGGCCGTTCCTATACACTATTTTCAAATACTATGGAATGAATGTTATTAAATATCATTAACTTGGCCATTCCAAAATACAATACCGTATTTTCGCTTAATAAAACCTATCAAACGTGTTATTTTGAGTATATGTATGTATGTGCATGTGCGTTATTTTGAGATAAGGCTGATCATCCGACATAAAAAGGCGTTAACGTAATTAGCTAATCCACATTTGATGAAGCCATGCATTTTATTTTTAAGTAGTACAATTTTCGAATAATGTTCACGGGTGACAAATCTTTAAAGATTCAAATTTACTATGATGTATTTTGCCTGGGAGTCCGGATTATTTAGACGCTCATTCTATTCTTCAAGCATTCTACTCTTCAAGCACGGGTTATTTTCTCGATCAATAGTCTTATAAGATATTGGTCATGACAGAACAAATTTGTGATATTTATCATCACATGATCTAATATCGATGTTATAATGCAATTTTGATCATGATTTACAAGTCGTGGTTGGCTGAGTTTTAATTTGGGATTGTTGTGCTTACATAATAACGACAAGAAAAAAATCCATGTTCATAAGAGTTTGCACGATAACTTAGAGTCATTTTTCAATCGGTGAAAATTAAAAAACGGTAATTGGTCAAATTTAAAAATGATGCAAATATTGAAACTATTAAATTCATATTAACAACGATAAATATGAAATCGAATTTAAATCGTTATTTATGATTATATAGATTCTTTTCCTGGGCCCGAAACCTTTGGCCGATCATTTTAAACTTACCAAAAAGAAATTGAAAATAGTAATCATCATATGTTTAAGTAGCTACGTATTTATCCGAAATAGTCATTTTAAATATCTAAACACTAAAGCAACACCTGACCAGAATTAACGTTTATGCATGAAGAGAAGCTTAATTTCTGTCAGGTGTTACAGTAATTCACATGTCAAAAATGATTATTTTAGATAGGTACATGTAGATTACCAATCAAAGATCTTTAATGTAAAACAAATGCAACATGCTATCCGAAATATTCAAAACTTCTGGTTCCTTCTGGCTCATAATGCTTCTAGTACGTAATGTTTAAAAACATTCAATTCATAGTTTATGTTAAGCTCTAGCCACAACATAGAGCATAGAACCACAACTCAAAATTTCACACAATTTTATGTAGGAGATGAATTTAGGGTGCTGAGTATCCAAGTCGATAACAGCTCTAATGTTCAAAACCTTCAACCCATAATATTAAAGAACGCTTAGTGTTCAAAACCTTCAACCCATCATATTAAAGAACGCTTAGTGTTCAAAACCTTCAACCCATAATATTAAAGAACGATTAGTGCATATATTTAAATTTATACAAAAGTTTTATAATTAAATTTATACAAAAGTTTTATATTTAAATTTCGTTTACGCAATACAGATTGATCGGCGAGACGAATTTACAATAAAAAAAAAATAAAAAATAAAAAAAATAAATAAATAAGAAATCACATAAAGTTTTAACTTTTACAAAATTGCTAATTCTGTAATTACAGTAGCGACCATCTTTAAACCCAAAAATATTTTAAAGTTTGATTATTTTTCAGATAATCTGATCTTTAGGTTATAAACTTGGTTAATGCCCCTATAAACATATTTAATTGATTCATTTTCATTTACCAAGTTAATATTATATTTTCTAAAAAACAAAACTGTGAGTAACTTAAGTTCTATTAACACAATATTTCTTCCTGGACAAATTCTTAAACCTCCACCGAAAGGTACATATCCATTCTTACGTATCTTGTTAAATTCACCCGCACCTTCATATTCTTCATTGAGAAATCGATCAGGATTAAACTTTTTCGGTTCATTAAAATGATTAGGATCATTCATAATTCGATGATGATCAATCCAAAACCATGTTCCAGATGGCCAATTAAATTCACCTACACTTTCTTTACCATCAAGAATACGTAAATTGTAAGGAACTGGATTCGCAAAGCGTAAAGTTTCTTTGGCCACTGCTTCAATATAACGACAACTTTCAAGTGTTTCATAAGTAATTATTGCATTTGTATCTGATCCAAATACTTTAAGAATTTCTGCTCGAATTTTTTCAATAACTGATGAATTTTTGGCAACATTATAAATAAGAAAACAAAGGGCAGAACTAGTCTATTATAAAAATATTAGGTCAGTATCGATTACATTTTTTTATTTTAATAAATTAAAAACTTTATACGTACCGTCTCAATTGAAGTAGATGTAATTTCGGCAAGATTGTTCTCAACTTCTTCATCATTCAATGACTCTTCACCTTTGATATTTTCGGATTCATTCAATAAATTAGATGTCAACAATAAATCCAATAAATTAAAATTTGTCGGTGATCCATTTTCAATCTCTTTCCTACGTTTTTGAATAATATTATGTACTGTACCATTCAAGAAAACAGACTTCTTCTTCATAGTATTAAATCCAAGCAACATAATAATACTACTAACACATTTTGGTACAAAGACTAAGAATGCTAACAGTGCCATATGTTCTGATGATGCTTTTGAAATTATTTTAAATGATGGCAAGTTATATAATTGTTGTCCAAAAATTGTTCCGATTGTTATTTGTGTTTTATAACAAGAAACCCAAGTTGAAAAATCTAAAGTTACTTCTTTATTTTCATCCCAATTTTCTTCAAACTCTTTAAATATTTTTTGAACATTATTTATGAATCCATAATGATATATTTTCGACATTAAAACTTTAGTAACAAATTGTCGACTTCGTTTCCATTTATGAAATACATTATTAAATATTAAACCTTTTAATATTCCAATTTCATCATAAGCAGCAATGTTTCGTTTGAAAAATTTTGATTCTCTAGATAAATTCTTTGATTCTTTATATGATAAATAAATTTTATCAAGATATTTTGCATTGCAAATGGTTACAACTCGAAAAGGACCAATGTAATATTCCCAAATATCAATAGATTCATTTAAATTTTTTTCTGCCCATTTACGAGGATTCAACCCAATTTGAAAAAGTGTACCAATAAATGGTAATGGAAATGGTCCAGGAAGAGGGTTAGGTCGAGTAAAATAACGGAAATAAAAGTATGAAGTATATAAAGAAATAATTATTCCAACAAAAATTATAATTTCCATTATCGTTGTATTTTAACAAAATGTAGTTTGTTCAAAAAGTTTTTTTCGGATCTCTTATAATATAGGTGATTCTTTCGGAGTTATTTTTAAAAATAACTCCATT